CCCATCTCTCCCCATCTCTCCCCATCTCTCGCCATCTCTCCCCATCTCTCCCCATCTCTCCCCATCTCTCCCCATCTCTCAGTACTACACTCAGCTGCACTCGCTGCGTCCCGCGCTTCCCAGGCTCTCCCCTTGCTCTATCTCCCCATCTCTCCCCATCTCTCCCCATCTCTGTCCTCCCAGACTCTCCTCCTGCTCCGCCAACCCTCCGCCATCTCTCCGCCGCCTCTCCCAGGCTCTCCTCCTGCTCCGCCGCGTGCGGCCGCTGCGACAGCAAGGGCAAGGCTTGCGCGAGGCGCAACAAGGAGCCCGCCGTGCATGCGCCGGGCGGGCGGCTGCTCCTAGATGACGGACGACCGGTCTCCCCAGATCTCCCCAGATCTCCCCAGATCTCCCCACGCCTCGAGGCCTGGATGGCGGAAGAGAGACCCGCGTGGCGCTCGAGAGGACGCGGGTTGGGCTGCCTTCTCCTGCCTTCTCCTGCCTTCTCCTGCCTTCTCCTGCCTTCTCCTGCCTTCTCCTGCCTTCCGCGTCATTCGCCGCTCGCAGCCTCGTCTTCACTGCGGTGCACGGAGCGCCGTCTCCCCGCCCCGAGGCTGGTGTGCTCGCATCGTTAGGCTGCGGAGCAACTTTGCGAGCATCGCGGCCGGGTGGGGGCCGTAGTACGTACTCTCCGACGCTCCTCTCTCGAGGGCCTTTCCTAGACCTCTCCCGGACCCTCTCCTAGGTGGGCCGAGTACTCCTAGACCTTTCCTAGACCTTTCCTAGACCTCTCCCGGACCCTCTCCTAGGTGGGCCGAGTACTCCCCATATCTCCCCATATCTCCCCATATCTCCCCATATCTCCCCATATCTCCCCATATCTCCCCATATCTCCCCATATCTCCCCATATCTCCCCACATCTCCCCACATCTCCCCACATCTCCCCATATCTCCTAGGTGGGCCGAGTACTCCCCGACCCTACTCTCTTCGGAGCCGTACGTCGTCCAGTTCGAAGGAGCGAACCTCCCCCTCTCCCCCCCCCCCCCCCCCAAGGCTTGGCCTCTCCTCGACCCGCCAGCTCGGATGCTAGGACTCATCTCCCCATATCTCCGCCATATCTCCCCATATCTCCCGCCAGCTCTTCTGCTAAGCCTCATCTCCGCCATATCTCCGCCATATCTCCGCCCTATCTCCGCCATATCTCCCCATATCTCCCCCATATCTCCCCATATGTCGCCTGGTAGGCCTCATCTCGCCCGCCGAGGCGGAGAGGATGGTCGAGCTCGCCGGGGAAAAACTGGAGCGCTCATCCTAGATCCCCACATCTCGCCGTATCTCCCCATATCTCCCCATATCTCGCCGGGGAGAAGCTGGAGCGCTCAGCCTAGATCCCCACATCTCGCCATATCTCCCCACATCTCCCCATATCTCGCCGGGGAGAAGCTGGAGCGCCCGGCCGGCCACCAGCTCTGCTCCCCTCCCCCCGGCCACCTCTCGCAGACACGTCCCGGACCTTTCCCTAGGAGCGGTCTCTCGCCGGGGACCAGCTCTCCCCGGTCCGAACGTCGACGCAGGCGCCGCCACACACAGCACTGTCACAGCACTGTCACAGCACTGTCCACACACAGCACTGTCACAGCACTGTCACAGCACCCACCGCTGCTCATGTCACAGCGCCGCCGTCTCAGCACCGCCGTCACAGCGCCGCCTCTTCCAGCACCGCTGTCCGCCCGCCCGCCGCCCGTTGCTTGCCCCAGCCCCAGCCCCCTCCCCCCCCCCCCCC